TATATATATATATATACATATATATATTTTGTGCGTGTATTTCCTTATTGTAACTGTTTTCCTATATGTTATCCTTATTTGATTTAGAGCATATTTTATACACTTACTACATTCTTTTCTTTTTTTGTTAATCTTTTCAAATATGCTAAAGTAATTAGTGAAATAGTGTTTAATATTTAGGTGTCTTAATAACAGAAATAGAAGACCAGAAGACTTACAAGGTTTTATTACATTAGAGGAATTCATGTTGCAACAAGAGGATCAAAGACAAATGACAAAATCAAGATCTATATCGCCACGAATAACACCTTTAATTAGCGATCACGTTCATGTTCAACATAGGAACTTTCATGATAATGAGACTGTTAATGAACAATCCAGACATATAGCTGATGGAATTTCAAATAATGATGTTTATGTTCAAAATAAAAATAGCGATGAAGTACTAAATAACACTGCTTCTGCATGTGGGTATACTCGGAATATGGACAACATTCATGTAATGCGACAATATAGTGGAGATTTCGATTCAGAAAGAAATGAATATAGAGGAGAATCATCAAAACATGTAGTCCATAAAAAGTCGAATGAACTTTGTTACATTAATAAAAAAAAATTGTCAGATGGGTCAAATCTTCAACATCTAAAGTCAAGCAATTCATTTTATTGTAAAGCTGCAACAAATGAACAAAAACACTCTTCGTATCACAATAAGCCAAATACTGTTGACAAGTCTGCAAGACAAATGAACTTGAATTGTGAATGTAATATTTATACGAATCAAGCACAGTCTTCAAGTAATTATGATATTTCTAGATCATATGATTATTATTTACCTAAAAATGTCAATAATTCATCAGAGGATATAAAGCCAGTATCAAAACGACTTACTCGAAATGATGGTAACTTTTACTGCATATATGATAATTTTTCAATACAAGAGGATTGACATGATTTCGTTTTAGGTTCTGGATCTACTAATGATCTTACATTTCATACTTTTTACGAAACTTTGCAACGTGCAAAGAAAGATGCATCCATTAGTCGCAAAGGAAGTTTCAATTTAACAAATCGTCGTAATCATGTTTCTTCGGATAAGCATTGGTTGGATTCTTTGCGACGAGCTGATAAAAAAGAAGCCAATTATGATAAAACCCGTTTAAAAAATGTAGCTCAGTATCAACCACCACCCATACCAACTTCTCCATTCGAACAAGAAGGAATGACTGCTGCATTTGAAATGCATTTAGATAAAGGTGAACAGGTTCAAAAACCAAATCGTTTGAAAAACTTGTTTACCAATAAATGTCAGCACAAACCTTCTACACTTGATTTGCCTAAAGAAACACAAAAGACATTATTAGGTACAAATAATATATTTTGAATTTCAATTATACTTATAATAATCTTTGACAATCTATATATAATTTATAGGATCACCGAGATTACATAGAGCGTTATTTAGAGAAAAATGTTACAACCAATCACGATTACTAAGTCGGTCGAACAGTCAGAGTCCTGGCGATAGTGGAATCAGTCAATCTCTTAGTCCTTTCAGTGGAAATAGTCCTCAAACTCTCAGTCAGAGTTTTAGTTCGGTTAGTTCTGTTAGTGATTGGAGTCCAGATACACCATCGTCGTGTACTCCAAATTTAATATTGAAAGTACGTATTTCAATAAATAATAATTACAACTATTGTACTGGATACTGAATATAATAACAAATATTTATTTTTAGGCTAGTGTAAGTCAGTCCTCTTGTCCAAAGCACGCAAGCACAGGTAGAAACTTATTGACACCACCGACATTGCCTTATATACCACCACCTACGTCACCACCACCTGATTATCCTGGTCTTGAATATCCGCCAGTATTTGAACCTGGTACTTATTCTCTTTTGGATGCTTCGCTGCTGCGTAATCGTAACAAAAGCAATCGAGATACTCATTAACCAATGACAATTTAGTTCATTAATCTACACAATAATAACCAAAGATAATATGTTTCCTTAATCATTATCTAATCTCTGATTTATATAAGGAATTCAAAAGAATAATATTTTTTCACAGAAGTATTAAAATTTAACCGTCTATTTTATAAGAATCCAAAGGTTACTGAATCATTTTTTTATATAAAGTGAAATTATGAACTATCCACTCAATGACAGAGATGAGATAATAAATAAGATAATAATGAAAATTGAGTGGACGACTGAAATTTAATATATCATTACTTTAGTAAGTAATATAAATAATATTTGAATTAAATTTAAAAAAAGTTTAATATTATTATTATTCGTAATAATAATGATGATGATAATAATAGTAATAATAATAATTGGTAAATCGAAACTTACATTTTTTTTAAATATTTTAACTATATTAAATGTTTATTGTACATGAATTATGAAATTTTATAATAATTAATACATATAATGTAAATTTATATATAATTTTTTATATGAAAGATATGGTAATTGAAGAAGAAAATTGAATAAAAAGTTTAATAGGAGACATTGTTTAAAAAAATTAAATTTTTAATTTTCTAACGAATAAAATTTTCATATGCAAATATATAATACACATACAAGAATTTTGTTGTATAAATGGTTTCAAATATGTAAAACAGAAATACTTTTGAACATTATTAAAGTATTAGAATATAAATTACATTTCAATAAAATATAACAAAATTCTGTTGTACTTTTTTAAAGATATTTTATAAATAGTTTTAAACATACATTAATCGTCATATATATATATACATATCCGTATATTTATATATAATGTGATGATGTATATAAAGTGCCTACATATCTCTTTTATATAATTTTTGTATATATAATTAAAATCATATTTTTAGCTATTAATGTAATTTAAGGTGCACGATTTTATTATACTTTATGCTCAAAAAATGAAGTATTATAAAGTTAAAACTATTCAATTTCTAAATTATCTATTTTATGTATTTTTGTAATAGTTCATAATTGTTATATCAATAGAAAAAAATTTGATTGTAAGTCTGGCTATGAATATTATAAAACGCTTTCATTACTGAAATAAACATTTTGCAAACATGAACAACATAAATTATCACACACATTTTTTACCGTATATAATAATGTTTTATTATACGGAATTTGAATGATACTAACATGATATAGTTTAATTTAATATTTCTCTTTTATTCAATATTAACAAATATTATAGTATTCAATATTATTTCTTTGTTTCATACGTTCAATATTCAATTATTTCGTCAAAGTTCGATCACACGAGAAATCTCGTCTGTGGTCCGATTAAAAATCGATTTATCGATGAAAACTATCGAAGATACTTTTTGAGTCTGTTGGGACTAACAAGTTTCTAGAAATTTTACAAAGTATTCAGTGTATTAACCTTATTATACCAAAACTAATAATTTTAAATTTAAATAAGTTTAGGGTTGTATGGTTAGTAAAGAACATAATATTTTATAACTTCAATCACTATCACATTGAATTATTGTTATTTGAACATATGTATGCTTAATAAATAAATTGAATGAATACAAGATAAATTATTATGAGACAAATAATTACTTGTAATTATTACTTGTAATTGTAGAATTGGTTAAGGTTGAATTTGTAATTTAACCTATAACATTTCAGCATACACGCTCATGTATATGTATATTTTTTGAGTGACAATAAAAGAAGGAAGTTCAACAAAACATGTCAGACCCAATTGATTATATTGATTTAACGGTGGATCAACCAGATCAACCTTTAAGATTACGGAATAGGATTATTAAAAATAATGCAAAGTCACGGAAACGTAATTCCAATAAACGGCAAACTGTACAGCTTCAAGATTCTATCATGTATGTATTAAATCTTCTTAAATTTGATCAAATTTGTTAAATTAAGATTTGTTCTAGAGAAATACCAGTTGAAAATACATGTAAAGACGTCGAGCCAATGGAAATCATAGATCTAGACAAGATCAATAATACAGAAGAAACTGGAATATGTTATGTTAATAATTCTAAAGAAGAAAATTTAATTGTTTTGACTTGCCCCATATGCTATGAACAGCTATCTTCTAAAATAAAACCTATGTCTACTCCTTGTGGACATATATATTGTACACAATGTTTAAAATTAGCTCTAAGTAAAGTTAAAAAGTGTCCAACGTGCCAAAGAACTATCAAATTACAATCTTGTACCCGTTTATACTTTTAAACATATCAGTTTTGGCTTTCACATTCATTTGCTTTTTATATTTATATTATTACGAGTATATAGTATATATTTTACATATTTTACCTACATACAAAAATACATATATTTAGTGATATTTTAATAGTTGTGTGAATTTCAATGATTATTCTCTGATTATATCTAAGATATCGTAACTTCTTTATATATTCATTGTAATAATTTAAGATTTAGTTTTCAATTTATTAGAAAAAGGAATTAAAGTTTTTAATAAACTCTGTAAATGTATCTATTTCAGTATATTTTGATTTAAAGTATGTTCACTATTTATGTTTTGTTGTCACCTTGAAATCTTATTGTCACTAATTTACTTAACATAACATGGATTAGTATATATTTTTTGTATATGTGGCATTGTCAAACTTACTGATATTAAATATTTCATGTAATTTGATGTATTCTTATGATTAATATCGTTACAAAATGTTTAAGAAGACAAAAATACAAAAAGAAAATCATATGTCATATTTCTTTGGAGGTGCTGCAATTGGAATAGCAGGTAAATACTATTTTTAATTGTTAGATACTTATGTTCTTTGTATTCAACTATTAAATATATTATTTATTTCATATTAGCTGGTCTACTAGCTGGAAAATTATTTTCAAATACATCAACTGAAGAAAATAAAAAATTTGGTAAGTATTCTTTTATAATTTAAATAAAATAAAGTTAAAAGTAAAATAAAGTTAAATTAAAAAGCATTTGTAATTTTACACAGGATCTGAAATTCTTGTCAATAAAAATATAAAGAAAAATTCTCAGGATGATAATACCCATAATAAATATTCGACTAAAAAAGATTGTACTATTTCTAAAAGTGCTGCTCAACACAATAATAATAACTATGCAGAGAAGTCATTGCCTCCAATTTCTTCAAACACAACTGATAATGAATTAAAATATAACATGAATAATCTTAATTCGAACTGCAAATATGACAAAGATGACGGAATCTTTTATGATAAAAATCATACTCTATTTAATATAAATATAGAAGATAATAATAAATATAATACATCTACTAATATTTTCTCAGAAAATATTAAGAAGACAAAGAATAATAGTTATTTTAAATTTGAAGATATTAAACAGAAATCTCCATGTGTTGCTCAAGAAAATAACGTAAACATTAAAGATGAAACTTTATTGAAAGCAGTAAATGGAAAAAGAACATTGATAACTGAAAGTGTCGATAACAATATAGAATTGACAGACACATTTAACAATTTGTCTATCAATTTCTATGAAGATAATACTACTTATAAAAATCTTCCATATATAAAAAATTTTGAGATTAGTTCAAACATTTCATCAAATTACATAGATAATGCTAGTAATGTGGCTACATGTAACGATACTACATATTCTGATAATGAAGAACGAGATATTTTGAATTTTACTTCCATGGAAGAATTTTGTGAAACCGGTATAATTTCATCTACGATATACAACAATATCGATAATATCTAAAAGAACTTTTAAATATAACGAAGTTAAGATTTCAAGCTAATAAGTTAAATTAAGATTTGAAGCTAGTATTTAATTTGAATAATATAGTATTTAATTTTCCCTTTATTCTAAATATATATTAATTAAGAAAAGCATGTATCTTATATAAGAGAGAGACAAATAAATAATTTAATACAATTATATCATGTGCGTATTTATGTTTTTTTATGTGTGCTAAATTTGAATTGAAGTCGTTCATTGGTGTAATAATATTCAATGTCATTTCCAAATAATGGATTGGTTGATCTTATACACACGCCACGCCTACGCTCTACGTTATGGCGGCGCCTCAGAGAAATGAAATACACATTCTGTTGTGTGGAACGGACTATGCTTTGTAATGAAGTCGGTATTCGTGGTATTTTTGAAAACTGATGCTGTTCGTCGCATGCGTTTAGAACGTGATAGATTGTAAGGAAACTTCGAAGTAATTTCAACGTCAAATCATGCAAGTTAATTAATTTACTGCAGTGAATATGAGTTTCCTATAGTGTGTCATTGACTCGAGACGAAGTGTCAAAATCGACTTGGTTTCGTGCTATGTAAAAATTTCATCGAGACAACAGTTGCCAACAATTTCATTTATTAAACATTAGTCGATCATTTAAAATCAAACTTGACTAATATATTTATTAGCCACTTATCGTTACCAAATAGAAACTTTACTGCTAGCGTGAGTTCCATGGAAATGAAAAGATGTATGTGACGCCAATGCTTTGTTTTCTTTTTGTTGAATACTTTCCGTTTCAAGTGTTACGTTTACGTAGTGATTTTGATAAAAATATACGCGCTGTAACACTTCTGTCATTGTCAGTGTTCTTTTGTATAATGTATCACTTTTTTCTCTTTGTCGGAATGTTATAAATTTGGAGGAGAAACGAATCATAATGTGTGGTTTAATTTGTTCGAATTTGTTTGGCTTTCCTTATTTTTTTTTTTTTTATTAATTAATTTAAATGATAAACATGCCCGACATTTAACTCGAAAAAATTCATTTGTTATGAGCAGATATAATTAATATACTCAGGAGCGAATGCTTATGCTATTTATTTATTTGTTTTTTCATTTGATAATTTCTTTTAATTATGTTGAAGAATTAATTGTATTAAAGACTCAATGTCTAGTATATAACTGTATTATTTTTTTAGATATAAACTGATCATTAATGTTGAAAATCCTAAGTAAATATTTTTATACTAGAAGTTATGAATAAAAATAAGAGTATGAATATTTCAATTTGGTGTAAAACAAAATTGAAATATTTTTTAAAGTACATTATGATTTCAGGTTTTTAAATGCATATTGAAGTTAAGAATCTTAAACATCATGGCGCAGAAAATATTTTGTATGTAACTAATTATTAATTTGCACTTAAACATGATACCAATGGAAAATAATTATCGAACACTCGTTAAGATGTGTTTATTTAATGCTGTTTATCACTGATCACATCTTTGCTGAGGTCAGAGAGTGATGCCGGTTCACCAGATCAATGTTAATCCGCCTGACCGGCAACCACCTCTGTCGCTTGGTCCTTCTAATAATAATAGCCCTGCTGGTGGTGAAGGCTTACCAGAATGGACACCAAGGGTATCTTTTATAATTTTATTCTTGTACTCACTTGTAATTTTATTCTTGTACACTATATGTTTTATAAAAACATTTATTTCTTATTTTAATATTTTTAAATCAATTGTTTAGTAAATATCAATAATTAAATTATATATGTAATAAAGAAGTTATATAATATGTAAACCAAAATATAAATCTAAATTATTTATTACTTTGTATTTAATAAAATATTTATCTTTTAGGAATCAACATACGCAACAGTAGTTACAATTATACCAGATCATTGTCACTCATCAGTAAGCACATTATCTTCAAGCAATCATGATATTTGCAGGTGAATATAAACTTCATTCAATAGCTCTTATCTTTTAAAAGAAGTGATGTTCAAATAATGTATAAACAGTATTTGATATACATATAACATATCATATTTCTTTTTCTGTCGCAGAATATGTCATTGTGAAGGCGAAGAAGGTGCTCCACTTTTAGCACCTTGTTATTGCAGTGGCAGTTTACGTTATGTACATCAGGCTTGCCTTCAACAATGGATAAAAGCTTCAGACACACGTGCTTGTGAATTATGTAAATTCACATTTATTATGCATGCTAAAACAAAACCATTTTGTGAGGTATTATTTCTTTACATTTCTATGTAATACATAAAGAAATTTGTATAGATTTCCTTAAAAAAGAAATAAAACTATAACTTACTAGTGCTTAATTTAGTAAACTTGGGAAGAGAAAAAAAAATATATTCATTATTGATTAACTTTTAGTGGGAGAAACTTGAAATGTCTGCCCTAGAAGTTCGTAAATTATGGTGTGCAGTTGCTTTTCATGCAGTAGCTGCACTCTGTGTGGCTTGGTCTTTATACGTACTCGTCGAACGATCTGTGGAAGAAGCTCGACGTGGATATGTAGACTGGTCTTTCTGGACTAAATTAATAGTTGTTGTAATTGGTTCTACAGGAGGTTTAGTTTTTATGTATATTCAGTGCAAAGTATACATTACATTATGCAGAAAATGGCGAGCATTTAACAGGTATATACTATTAATAATAATCACTTGCATTCAGCTAAAAATCGTATAAATATCGATTGTATGTTTTAGAGTAATATTTATTCAAAATGCTCCTGAGAAAGTGGTGCTTCCTCCTTCACCTACAGACTCTTTGAGAGAAGTAACATTGCCTCTAAAAGATCCAACTGCCTCTATGCCTGAGCTCAATCATACCTTATTACCCCGTAACATAGATCCTCCATGTGCCTCGCAGATGGTAAAACCGGATTCTGCCGCGCCTCCACAAAGGCACGACGCTCAATTGAAATTGTATGTATTTGATAAATTGTCATCGTCCGAAGACAACTTGTAATACAATTGGGGGTAATACAGATGGCTGCTAATTGTGTACTGATGATTAGCAAAAAAAAAACAAAAAAAGAAAAAAAAAGTGTAATGCAAACATAAGCATACGTCTAGAATAAGATGGTAATTCTAGACCGCAGTATGATTTTTGAAAATCGAAGTTTCTATTTCGAAACTGTCAAATGTCCGCCCTTATGGAGCACCTTTATCTGAAACCTAGTACTTCAGTGCTTACATTGACAATGGGATAGTTGAAAGTGTTTAACCAACCAGCAGATTAAACATTTTCTCCAACGATTGTGTACATAATTATTGTATCTGTGATGTTATTAAATAAAATTTACCATATTTAAACAGTACCCTTAATTTTTGTAATACAAGATTGTGCGTCCATTTAGTAAAGCCTTCATTTGCGATCACGTTAAAATAGACAATGTAATATCAATGTAATATAATTTTTTATATAAGGATTTTTGAATTTAAATTTTAGATTTAGCTAAATTTTGCTAATTTATTATTAAATGATACTGTGTTATATTAAAATAAAAAATGCGGTTTTCAAAATAGATATTTTTATTACAAAATTTTTATTGATATCGTGTACATTTTCTTGCTGTCTTAGAAACAACATAATAATAGTGATGGTTGTCTAGTGATATGATTATCTATTAATTAAAGTTAATGTATATTTAACATTTGATTATAAAAAAGGTATTGATGAATTGATATCATTATTCTCTTTTAAAAAACCACCATTATTTAACATGATGTGCACATGATTGCGTATATCCGGCCATGTTCATTATAAGAATGAAGTTATTCACGAGTTGTTGGCAATTAACATTATTAATATTATTTGTAATAATAAATATTACAATGCGCGAATGAAATAAATAATGCGAAATTTTTTTAATTCATTCATTTAAAACATGGTATTTCCAATTTTAATCGAAATTTTTGAATACATTTTGTAGTTGGCACCACTAGTCTTCCGGAATATATTTGCAAGTTACCACTAACTACAGTAGCAGTGGTGGTGAGCGTCAGTTTGTGAAAACTGGAGGTAAGACGATCGTTTGTAATCCACTTTTAATTATTTATTCTTAATCAATCCACTTGTAAAATGTATTCAATTTTGTTAAAAATATTCTCAAGTTTTTTTATTGTATAATAATTTTACTGTTAGTTATATTATACAGTGAAAATTAAATGACGTGCAAGTGTTTATCTTGTGGTCTCTATAACGTTCAAAACGTGAACGAATTTGGAAGATAAATTATGTAATTTCTGATTGTATAGATATACAAGTGTGTTTGATTTATATATCTAAGATGAATGTTCCTTAGAAAAATTCAATTTTAATTATTTTACTTATTTTGTACTGCCTGTTTTTTTTTCCATGCGTGAACGATGAGCGTCATTAAAATGGCGGTTACATTAAGTGTACCGCCATACACTAAGTGTATAGTTTCCACAAAAAATCATTGCTATTAAAAATAAGCAGGTTTTCACAGATTCGTCTTTTTGTGATCTATTTGAAATTCATTTAAATGATTTAATATCTATTTTTTGTCTTATGTATATATTTTCATTATAAGATTATTAATAATAATATATTATTATTAGAAATATATTCAAATTTTTCTCTCTCTTTCATTAAATGAGAATAAAAAATGATGTTAATGATATTAATATGAATTTGTTAAATATAATGGAAAGTAAAATTATGTATGTCTATATCCTCTTAAATAATGCAATATCTGAATAACTTGATACAATTATTATAAATTTAAAAATCAAATATTATTTTTGTAGATTTAAATCATATGTATAATATTTTTCAAATTTTAGCAATAATTTAGATATATAAGAAAAAAGATGGCGGATAACGATGATCTTTTGGATTATGAAGATGAAGAACAAACTGAACAACTAGTTGACGGAAGCAGGGATACACCTGCTAAAAAAGAAGTCAAAGGCACATACGTATCTATTCATAGTAGTGGATTTAGGGATTTTCTTCTTAAGCCAGAAATATTACGTGCAATTATTGATTGTGGTTTTGAACATCCATCTGAAGGTAATAATATTTTACTTATTCATATAATTATTGTATGATACTGCCTGAAATAACAATATTGATGCAAACTGTTGAACTGATATGTTAAAATATATTAGAAATGTATTAAAAATTTGATATAATCAAATGATGAAATCCGATAGGGACAACAGATGTTATATGAATGACATATCTATGTTATCTGATTATTTGTCATAGAAATTTCTTATATCTTCTATTTTTAAAAATAGAAATTTTACATATGAATCTTATTTACAGTACAACATGAATGTATCCCACAAGCAGTGCTTGGTATGGATATATTATGTCAAGCAAAATCTGGCATGGGAAAAACAGCTGTATTTGTATTAGCCACATTACAACAATTAGAATTAACTGAAAACCAGGTTTATGTTCTTGTTATGTGCCACACACGTGAACTTGCTTTCCAAATTAGCAAAGAATATGAAAGATTCAGTAAATATATGCCTCATGTAAAAGTAAGTATGATTTATTGTATTTAATTTCAGTTCATTAAAGATCTTCACATGATGAAACAATTATCTTACTAAATAATGGTGACATTTTTCAATACCACTACCTACCACTGACGAAAATTTTTATATTTATTATGACTC